CAATTTATGACACCACCCAAGAAATTGCATTGCGATGTGCAGGGCTTGAAAGAAGGGATTTTGTCAATAAAAAGTAAATTATTTGAGTGTTTGCATTAAATCATTAGATATATCTGTTAATAATCAGATAGGTAAGAAGTTAGTGGCTTCCAAAGTTCTAGCGTATTCTAAAACTAAAAATGATATCATTCTAAAAATGATAAAATGTAAAGAAAACTTATGACTTCTGAAAAGGAATATTCAAATGTAAACATGTGGATTTTAAAAATTATATGTTTATCATTGTAAAGTTATATTTATGAAGTCTGACATTAAAAAAGTCACATCAGACTTTATCAATTTAACCTCTTACAATAAAGTGCATGGCAAATAAGAAAGGAAATTCTTTTCAATAAAGGCTATTTTAGCAAAAGGATTATAAAAAGTTTGGTAACTTGAGATGCTATTCTGGGATGTATGCTACTAGTTCAAGTGTGCAAGCTCCAACTTAACAAATGTTTAAAATATTTGAGTTTTTAAAACTGTGCCAAAATAAACCACATCTTTTTTAGAGATGACATATTTAGCTTAGCTTGAGAAATATAAATCTTTCAACCATTTCATGTATTTGTTTAAAAGCCTCAGAAATCACGTGCATTTCCAATAAAACACAAAGAAAATGCTGAAATCACTGGAGCTTAACAATGGACTTAAAAAGCAGTTTTTAAAAGGGTAAATGTAGCTTTGTGTGTGCCCGTGTGCGTACGTATGTAATAAATGAATTGATATATATGTTAGGTTTTAAATAATACTACTAAAAACACAAAGTTATCTGTGTTCCATATAAATCTTAGATGAGAATATATATACATACATATATATATGTATGTGTGTATATATATATATACATATATATATATAATATATATATATATATATATGCTTACCATACAATGCCTTGTTTATATTGAACTTTTTTTTTTGTCATTTGTGGGACTTGAACTCTGGGCCCCAGCGCTGTCCCTCAGCTCTTCAGCTCAAGGCTAGCACTCTATCACTTGAGCCACAGCACCACTTCCAGTTTTCTGGTGGTTTATTGGAGATAAAAGTCTTTTGGCCTTTGCTGCCCAGGCTGGCTTTGAACCACGATCCTCAGATCTCAGCCTCCTGAGTTGCTAGGATTATAGGTGTGAGCCACCAGTGCCCAGCTAATAATGAGCATTTAAGTAGAAACTTTATGATCTTGAAAAATCTTTTAAGATTTTAATTTGCACAGAAATTGTTTTCCTATAGTAAACCCATTAATAAATATAACTTGATTTCTTAAAAAAATGTAAACATGCCAGTTGCTGGTGGCTCCTAGCTACTCAGGAGGCTGATATCTGAGGTTAGAGGGTCGAAGCCAGCCTGGGCAGAAAAGTCCCTGTGAGATTATCATCTCCAATTAACCACTCAAAAACAGGAAGAGGTGCTTGGCTCAAGCAGTAGAGCACTAGCTTTCAGAGAAGGTACCACAACTGACAAATGAAAAATAAAAAGAGTAAATGCTTTCCTATGCAACTCTATTCAATACTAAAGTTACAATTGTGTGTGTGTGTGTGTGTGTGTGTGTGTGTTGGTAGTGTAGTGGGGCTTGAACTCAGGGTCTTGTGCTCTTGCTTGGCTTTTTCTTCTTAAGGGTGGCCCCCTACCACTTGAACCATACCTCTACTTACAGTTTTTTGCTTGTTAGTGGAAGATAAGAGTCTCAGAGCCAGGCGCTGGTGGCTCACACCTGTAACCCTAGCTGAGGACGCTGAGATCTGAGGATCAAGGTTCAAACCCAGCCCGGGCAGGAAGGTCCATGAAACTCTTATCTCCAATAAACCACCAGAAAACCGGAAGTGGCGCTGTAGTTCAAGTGGTAGAGCGCTAGCCTTGAGCTGTAGAGCTGAAGGACAGCACTCAGGCCCAGAGTTCAAGCCCCACGACCCCCCCCCCCCCCCGCAAAAAAAAAAAAAAGAGTCTCAGAGATTTTTCTGCTTGGACTGGCTTTGAAGTCTTAGCTTCCTACAAAGCTAGGATTACTGATGTGAACAACTAGAGCCTGGATAAAGTTACAAAGCTTTAATATTTTACTTTTTTTTGTGAAATAAACTATTATTAGTAAGTGACCTAATGAGAAAACTATTGTTTGGATTAGAAAATATAAAAAGGAATTTTTTTGGGGGGGTCTGGTCGTGGGGCCTGAACTCAGCCTGGGCGCTGTTCCTCAGCTCTTCAGCTCAAGGTTAGTGCTCTACCACTTGAGCCACAGCACCACTTCCGGCTTTTTTCTTTTTGTTTATGTGGTGCTGAGGAATTGAACCCAGGGCCTCATGCATGCAAGGCAAGCACTCTACCACTGAGCCACCTTCCCAGCCCCTAAAAAGGAAAATTTTTATTATTGATAAAAGTATATAAAATACTTATTCTATAAAGGATTTAAATTATTTTTAATACTTTAATGCACAATAGCTCATTTATAAAAGTAAGATTAAAACTGATCATAGGTTGATAGGGAATTTATATGCATGCATGTAAAAGAAATGACATAATAATAATAGAAATTGCAATGGTAAGAATCTTTATTATAATTTGTTTTTTCTAACAGAAAGATTAGAAGAGAGCTGGATAGATTGTACTTCTAAGATTTAGTTTAAGTTCTAGCCTGTCTTTGGCAAGTTCCAAGATACTCTGAGTGTTTCCTCATCCACAGATCAAATGTAATAATAATGATCACAAGTTATTCACCATTGGCTACATTCACCAGTGGCTAATGACTGTAATCCTAGCTACTCAAGAGGCTGAGACTGTCTGTGAGACTCTTATCTCCAATGAATCACCAAAAAGCTGAAAGTGGACGTGTGACTAGCTTTGAGCACAAAAGTTCAGGGATAGTGCCCAGGCACTGAGTTAAAGCCCCAATACCAGCACAAATACTAAAATCTATAATCACTATTAATATATGATGGATATGCCATTATTATTACATAGTTGACAGGATTAAATGAAATAAATAAATTATAAAGTGTTACAACTGTTAGTACTGTCTTTTCTCTGAACTACTTAATTTTATAAGAAGAAAATTGCCATGTTTACACTAGAGGTTTAAAGCTAACTCTAAGAAACATTTCTGGGCAGAGCAGAATACTTCTGCAGTTGCATGGTTATTGACTATGTCTATGACCAATATTCAGTGCCTATGGGATTCTTTCATTCAAAAAGCAGGCAATTTGAAATATTGCTGGTGAGTATTTTTAGGTTTAAGAAATAAGACAATAATTGGCTGTGATACTTTACATTTGTCATGTTGTAGACAACTCAAATTCAAGACTCTAGGATATTTCTGGGAAAATACCTATAGTAAACAATAATGGATGCTTAGAACTGTTATAAATTTCACTTTACAACATCATATTCTAGAAACCTTCTGTATTTTGATTAATTGATTATAGGGTTTGGTTGCTTTAATCTGATCAGCTAGAAAGAAATATTTGAAAAGTATAAAATGTTTTAATGTTGCCATTTGTATAGTCTAATATCCTAGACAAAATAACTTGACAAGCTTGTCTGTTCTTCAGGACTAAACTGAAAATTCAAGTTTACTTGTGATTTATTTTAAGAGGATTCAAGAATGGACAATTTTGTGACAAGAACTGTTTTCCTTTACTTATCTTCATATCCGGGATGACTTTAAAGGTGCTGTTTCTTCACATAGCAATTAAAACCTGTTCCAGGGTTCAACTAGAACATAGAGATGGCAACTTTGTGCACACAGTATTACAATTTTCTATGTTTATGTAGCCATTGGTCTATGAAAGACGATATTTCTCTTTAGGCTATAGAGCAAATCCATTTGGTTTATTTTTAACCCATACTGTTCTTTATTTTCTAATTTTCATAGCTTAAAAATATGGCTAAGAACATAAGTAAATTCCAAATTTCGAGGCACTGGGATGATTCTAACAGCAGTTAACTTAGGGGATACAGATTTAATATGAAAGAAATAAGGAGCATCAGTATTGTGATTCTTTTTTCACTTAGGAAAAAAAGCACTTTAATTTCCCTGAAGGTTAAAAAATAGTAATTTCTAATGGCCTAGAAAGGAACGAGACAATAAATTATCCTGAATATATTTGTACTAAAATGTTGTTAATGGTGTGAAAGAGGAACTATCTGGGGACATGGGTCAGCAGGAGAGAGAAAGGAAAAGATACTCAGGGGTGAAAAAGATTGAAGAATTATGTATATATGATATACAACAGGGAAAGAGGAGGGGATAATGGAATATAATGGAGGGATTGAACTTGTTCAAAGTACATTGTACTCATCTATGGAATACACTAATGAAACTCCCTTTTACTTAATATATTTAAAAAATAAGATAAAGAATTTGTTCACAGAAGATAATTTAGCTCAATCTTAGATGTGAGGTAAGAAATCATGGACTTAGAAAATAATGATTTCCTTACAACATTTTCACAGACTCAATCTCTTAATTATTTTATCTGTTTGAGGCCGTCATTTTCTATTGGCTTCTCATCTACTGAATCTAGAAAAAAAATGAAGATTCTTGTGGAACCCAATACATAAAATCTCAGTTTTACTTAAAACAAAACATTATATGATAAGAAGTGACTTCTATGCTTTAGCAATTTTAACTTATTTCTTACCTAAAGTAAAAAGTAGCTAAACTGAACCAAAGGGCAAGTTTATTTTATTGTCTTTATAGTTATACACTATAATTTATGGTAATATATATTGGATTCTCTTCCTCCATAACAAAAATTCAAGTCATAAACTAAAAATACATAATTTAGTAAGACTATTTAACAAGTTTGATTGCTTGTTGTCTTTTAGGACAGAAACATTTTGGCATGTACTAATTTTCTAGTTCAGTGTCCTAGGCTATTCAACAGAAACTTAGTGATTACTACAACTTAATAGGCACTTAGACAATTACTCAATATTAAAAAACATGGGAAAAATGTATTTGTAAGTACACACTAACAATCTTCTTTTTATTGAAAATAGTCTGTTGTTTCTGGTGCAATAAAAATCATACCCTGGTAAATATCATTTTTTGGTAAATATCATTTTTATGTGCTAATCTCTCATTAAATCAAATCTTCTACTTAATTCTTAGTATCTATACTTAGTACTGACAAAGATTTCATACATGCATTAAAGAAAGACTACATATTCTCATGTCTGAGCTTCTCTCATCAGTTCAGAAATATACTCTATATTGAAAAATACATTTATTTGAAGTTTTGACCTAACAGTAGATTAAGGCTTAGATAATATTTACTTTGCTGCACTTTGATTCAAAAAGGGCCATGTGTGAATATATGATCCCGACCAACTTTACCATGTTTCTCTAGTGGTATCCCAGTAAAAATGATTTATATGAAAGACACTGAAATATAAAATAGTTACAAAATAAGCTGTAACTTTATAGCTACCCATCGGTAAAAGTCTGTAGTTAATATATTTGGATAAATAACTCAAGTCAGCAGCAAAGTGGTTAAACATTTGTGATTTGATTTTATCTCAGCTTGGAATGTGGTTGGAGTGTCCCACTTCTAACAACTGTTTGCTAAGTTAAGGCTTTTAGTGTTTACACAGTGTTGAATGAAGCAGCCTGGTCACCAGATGTGATCGCTTCCCCAGACTGTCGTTTCTTTCAGTCAGATCACTGTCCTCATGGTCCCAGTTCCAACTTTCTTCCTTAGGACGTCCACCAGCCTTTCTAACCTAAGTTGGGGGCAGGGCAAGTGGGAAGGGAAAAAAAAAAAGGAATAAAAAGTGTAATTATTGTCAGGAATGTTTTGACTGAAAAAGGACAGTATTTGCCTGCCTGGGGAGTCATGTTAAGAAACAAAGCATTACTGTAAGTGAGAGACAGTGGTGCAGAGTGCCAAGAATTTGGGGTTAAATAATAGCAACAATACAGACTTTAACTCTGATCCTCAAATTATGTCAGAGTTAGATGTCACACAAAATATATAGGAAACTCATTTCAATACATTCACCTCCTTGCATTAAGGTAGTAAGAAGTAGTAAATGAATATGATAAGTTAGCCTATTAGGTGTAGAGTAGCTTCTGATTCTTATCTAGGAAATGCTTATTTCAATACAGAAATACTAGCAATCTCACACCTGTTACTTAGCTAAAAAAGCAACATATTGGTACTGTACAATTTATGCATTAAAGCTCTTTCTTATGCAGTCATCTGATGGAAATAAAGACAGTAATTGGATGGCTAGGTAGGAAAATTTTCATATCCCACAATCATGGAAATCACTTAAATATACACAAATGATCTAATTGTTGTATTACAAGACTTTCTGTACTACATCTAAACTAGTTTCTATTTCTGAGTAGTGGAAACTAGAAATTACCTACGTAGGCTTTTTAGTCAAATAAAAGTGATTTTTTAAAAGTTAATTGAAACCTAATCAATTAAACAAAAGCAGTCAAAAGTTCAGAAGTCCATTCTGTGGTGCTCTTAGGCTACTCTGGAGGTCAACGTTCATGTGGATCACTGAATTCTGCTTAACAAAAGATAATGGAATGGGACTATTAGTTTTCTCCTTTTATATATTTGTTTTCTTCCCTGGAATCATAAACTCTCGACCCCGAATCTCACTTGATTTTACACACAGGAAAATTTTCCCTGTCAGTAAAAATTACAGCCAGCAGTTTTCATATACACATTCTACCCTCTGCACAAAGATTAGTGAGCCAGAGTCCGGTCTGCTCCAGTTTGCCTCATTTATATGGATCCATGCATGAGGGTCCTTTGCAAATAAACACAGTGCAGAGCTAGACTCTAAAGGAATGACGGCATTCTTAGTGTCATATGCTCATATGTTTCCATGAGGAATGGACAAATCAATATGTACAACTCTGAAAACTAGCTTACGGCTTTTGGATGATTCTCTATCTAATAAGAATTCTGTTCACAGAAAACAGGATTGTGAGATGATATACAAGTGCATGAAAATCTTTTTTTTAGGAAAGGGAATGACGATTTTGAGAGTAAAAAGGTAAATCATGTCTGAGTTTATTACCACAAGTTACTATTTGCAAATTATCCATCGATATCATACACCCACTACAACAGTCTAAAGGCATACAAATACTTGAAGTGGAGGATTCTTGGGAGAATTCATTCCACTGACAGAGTAGTCAGACTTTCTTTAGTGCTATCTTATATACTCTGAATATAATGACTCATGGGATATCTCATTCATTTAAGGCAAAGTTACAATAACTTGAATTGTGAAGGACAGGAATGAAAATTTTAGTATAAATTACAAAAGTACACTGTAAATTTACTGTTAAAATCCAATAGTAATTTCAATTAACTTTTGTTTCTCTGATGCTTGAGCTCAAACCCAGGTTTGAATATGTTAGAAAAGTCACTGACTGCTGAACTACACCCTCAGCCTTTGAATTTACTCTTAACAAATGGCTCCTAGTAAAAATATTAACAAGTGTATATTGTTAAAAGGCAGAAAAAATGTTTTTAGTTTGTTAGCTATATCCCTCTTAATACCATTTATAATACTGACTAGTAAAGAAAAATACCTCTTCATAATATAACAATTCCACATTGTACAGTTATTATTATTGTAAGTTCAGATTCAATGGAATATCAAATTACTGACATGAATCTGTGCTGTGCTGCTATTTAGATTTTTCCTAGGCAGGCTTGTCTCATTTTTGTTTCCTTTTCTTATATGCTAGGATATCTTTCCATTTAGAACTCACATCTCATAAGAAGTTAGGAGGAAATACTTAAATATCATGTTTTGCAATGTCTCCCCTATATTTCAACAATTACTAGATCAACCACATTCTCAGTTTATCCAGGTTGAATGATTTATGAAAATCTGATCTCAGAAACGAGAAAAATGTCAATTACTTAGTTTTGTCAAAGCTTACTGACTTCTGAAACACAATGAAGCACCTATTCCTTCCTGTAAGGAATGGGGTAATCTGCCAGCAGAGACTGTGCCAACAGGAAGGCTGGTGTGCGTCCGTTGAAGCACCTTGCAGAATTTGCCTTCAGGTCATTCTTTACTATCCAAATCAATAATGTTCTTTAAAAATCATGAACTTCACTAAAACAGAATACAATAATACTCAATGATATATTCACAGGGGCTTCATGACATAGGAAAAGGGCTAGAGCTACAACCAGGATTTTTCCATTTTTGAATGTGAAGAAACTGAAGTAGAGACAAGTACACCCTTTTACAAGGTTCTGTGGTAAAAAGTGACAAACTTGGGCCATAGTTTCTTGTTTTTAGTCGAGATCTATGTCTGTTAGGATTTGGTTGACTAGAGAACTACAGTTTTCAGCATATGGGTTAATGAATTATGTCTCGGTAGTATCATTAAAAATTTCCCCCCAAAGCCCAGAGCTGGTGTCTACACTTGTAAAGAAAGCTGAGTTTGGCCAGCCTAGGTGTACACATGAGACACCTCGTCAATGAACACCTAGGTGTAGTGGCATATATACCTGTCATTTCAACTTGATGAGAGGCTAAGATTGGGAGGGCTCTGGTTCTATGCCAGAATATGCAAAATATGTTTTAGAGATCTCCATCTTAACAGAAAAATCTGGACCTGGGGATGTGTAGTGGTCATCCCAGCTATACAGGGAAGAATAGGAGAATAAAGGTGTAACTAGGCCTTGCCAGGGCAAAAATGCAAGAATATATCTCAAAAATACATAGAGCAAAAAGGACTGGCAGCATGGCTCAAGTGATAGAGTATATCTGCTTAGCAAGTGCAAAAGCCTTCAGTTGAAACTCAGATACCTCAAAAAAAAAGTTTTCTCATATTCTTATCTAAGTTTAATTTTAAAAGTATTTGGGGCTGGGAATGTGGATTAGTGGTAGAGTGCTTGCCTAGCATGCATGAAGCCCTGGGTTCAATTCCTCAGTACCACATAAAGAGAAATGACCAGAAGTGGCACTGTGGCTCAAGTGGCTGGCCTTGAACAAAAGAATCTCAGGCACAGTGCCCAGGCCCAGAAACCCCAGAACTGGCAAAAAAAAGTATTTGCTGGCTTATTTCATTTGCTATTTTAGTAACAACACATTATTCGTGAACACAGGAATAAAGTTTATATTTAACTTAAAAACCAAATTTATGGTTTTATTTAAGGTAGAGATTCTATTTTCTTCAATTAACATTTTAATATTTTATTTGTAAACATACAATATACATATACTATAATGAAATGCACAGTCCATCAAGTAAATAAACGAGGTCATACTAAGCTCCTTATGTAGGTTTATTTAGATTTTCTTACTTTTTTTTTTTTTAAAGAGGTCATATAGAGGAAAACTGGATCAGAATTAAGAAGTTGGTGGGTTTTGGAGCTGGATGCAATGCTGCATCTCTCAGTGCCCCTCATCTCTCCAATGGGCCATATTGCTTAAAAGTACTAAAACTTGAAGGCTGATTTATGACATTTCATGGACTTCAATGCTTTTATTAACTAGATCCTTCTTATTATAAAGGGACAGGGAAGGATGAAAACAGAATAAATTCCTCATCTTCAGCTAAGCGCTACCAAAGTAGAGCTGTTACTACTTTCTACCAAAGCATAATGTAAGACAAAACATTCTCTTCAGAAAAAAAAAATTCCTATTATTTAGGCAATGAAGTTGCTCCATCAGGTATTGTTACCTTTTTCCTCCACAGAAGAAGGGATTAGGAAGAGACAAGAGAAATGGACACCAACCATCCTTTCAACAGACACAGTCATTCAACTTGTAGCACTTAGGGTTTCATTAGCATTAAAAATTATGCTCTCAGCCAGGTTCTTGGTGGCTCTAGCCTGAAATCCCAGCAACTCAGGAGGGTGAAATCTGAGAACTACTAGTTGGAGCCCAGGCAGACAAATCTGAGAGACTCTTATCTCCAATTAACCAGCAAACAGCTGGAAATGGAGATGTGGCTCAAGTGGTAGGGCTCCAAGAGTGAGCAAAAAAATCTCAGGGAGAAGGAGATCGTCTGTGTACAAGTTCTTGCTGAAATCTTGTGAAAGATGAGACTTTAAATGTGACTTTTTTTTCTTTTTTTTTTTAATTGCTATAGCTGTTCTGTTGGTCTTTGTCATGCTAATATATTTGGTCAACTTTTCTTTATACTTCTTGTATTTTTCTAAAGTATTATTTGTTCTTTTGGTGTTCCTTAAATGCTCATGACTTCCAAAAATACATCAATTCTCCAATACTCCCAAACTCTCTTTGGTGTTTCAGTCTCACATATTCTCTTCAACTGCCTTCAAGACATCTTTTTTGTTGTTGTTGTTGGTCAGGCTTGAACTTGGGGTGTGGGCTCTGTTCCTGGGCTAACACTCTACCAGTTTGAGCCCCAGCTCCACTCCTGGGAGGGGTCCAGTTGTGGGGCCTGAACTCTGGCCTGGGCGCTGTCCCTCAGCTCTTTGGCTCAAGGCTAGCGCTCTACCACTTGAGCCACAGCGCCACTTCCGGCTTTTTTCTTTTTGCTTATGTGGTGCTGAGGAATCGAACCCAGGGCCTCAGGCATGCTCTACCACTTGAGCCACCTTCCCAACCCCTCCACTCCTGGCTTTCTAGTGATTAATTAGAGATTAGTCTCACAGACTTTACTGTCCAGGCTAGCTTTGAACCTTGATCCTAAGGTCTCAGTCTCCCAAATAACTAGGATTACAGGCATGAGCTTACCAGTGCCCAGCTTCAAGATATCT